TCTTCCATCATAAATTTCATGGTTTCGTTATTTTTGTAAGTGTCATCCATTATGTTACCTTGGTCACTCAAAACAACGGATATCGCCCGTCCCTCTTGATTGTTTTTATCATGCGCCGTCGGTCATGCGCGCACTTTTCTTTTTTTTTGTTTTCTTTTGCTCCTTTTTTCTGATCGCACTTAATCTCCATTATAATAAACTGCTCGTATGAGATTTTCGTTCCTCGCCGTTCTCCTTGGTAAAAGGGTCACATTCAATAGTCACCCAGAGCAGCAGGAGCGTGTGGGATGCCAAAAAAGAATACAATTTCGGAATTTCTGAGTAAAAGAGGAATAGCAATTCATTTTTGTCACTGGCATCATTGTTTTCTTTTGTTGTTCGATTTTATTAGTTTAGACACAACTAAAGTAGAAAAAATTTTGTGGAAGTGTAGTACAGTCAAGTTCGCTGCGCATGATGAGGCGTGTCAGCGCGGCTGCGTTTGGCGTGCCGCCAAATTGTTCTCCACCAGTTGGGGTGAGTGAGAACAGTTGGTGGAGAATAACTGATACGAACGATATGATACAGTCTTGTCGCCTGCCGGAAGGAAAAAACATGAAAAAGCGGGTTGGCGACTCGCCAAACGCAGCCGCGCCGACACGCCCATTATCCTCAGTAAACAAGGCTATATTTTCGTCACATTGTACTGGAAATATCGCCGGTACTTTGCAAGTTTTCGAATAGAAGAGATCTGATCTCATCAGATAGGATGTATAGGATAGCTTGGTTAGTTGTAGTCGCTTACCAGTAAGCTGGACTTCCTGAATATAATGGTAGTGCTTTGGAAACCACAAAATTAGGCGTGCCACTCAGGCGAGATCAAGCCTGAAGAATTTCATGAGATCTAGTAAAGATTCTTGTAAACGACAGGGAGTACGAAGGGGCATGAGTTGGAGTGCAGCCAAAATAGCCTTTACCACCCATTATTGCGGACTCAGAATGACGTCAGTGGCGAAAAAGCCCGCCTTAGCAGCGCTCCAGTCCACGCCTCCTTACCATTTGCAGTGATTGTGAGTGTACCTACGAGGGTTATTCCATGCCAAGACGATCTCCACAAGTCTTATGTACCGGTGAAGTCACATAAGGATGTGCCTAAGTATTCTGATTTAAACAGGAAAGAGGAACAAATAGACTTTCACATCAATTTTTCGTGGTCCACGGGCAACTTGAACTCAAGTCTTTCATCATTCGCACTTCGGCATCTTTCCGCGAGAGCGTGCGGTCGCGGCACGGTTTCATCATCGCAGCACGATGGTATTCCAGTGGCGATAAGCGTTGGTGATCTTTTAAAGGTTCACGTCACTTAGCTGTGGAATGATCTGCTAGTCTGATCGCTGTGCCACGACTTGGGACCGCGATTTGCGGATCAAAAATATACACCCGTCTTCCTAATTATGCTGCAGACACTCAAAGTTAACATGGAGAAAAGTATATGGCGGTCATTGAAGAGCTAGCGCCTTAAGAGATTGTCTGGGTTTTCAACTACATGGTGCCTGACAATGAGAGATCGTGGGTTTATGCAGCAGTCAACAGGAGGTTACCGACATGTAAAGTTCTTAGGGATCTCAGGAGTATTCCCCCTGAAGCGAGAAGTTCACTTCAGCGGAATTCCTCGGGCTTACCCTATATGAACCGTTCTCCTACTGGCTCGATACGGCGGATACAGTTCGCAACAACCGAATAGTCGATGCATGTCGGCGTGACGTGGATTTTGGCACGGTGCCTGCTCGTTTTCTAGCATTTCTTGCTAGATGAGACGAGCCGTGATTGGTGTAAAATGAGCCGACACCGCTTCAAAATTGACGTCACACTGACAAGCCCCTTCGACTCGCTTGTTAGAGACTATGTTAAGGACTACTTTTCTAAAAATATTCCTAAAAATTAGCCTCTCAGTTGCTATGACATGGTATAATAGTTTTACAGATTGCAGTGGGTGGTCGATGAGCTTTAAAAGTGCCTTTCTTCTGTTCAAGCTATGAAGAAAGCGATAACGCCGATACGTCAGTCCAATAATAGTTTTTATCAGTCGCGGTCACAGCTTTTTAATGACCTTCTGCATGGCAATTTGAAGAAGGACAATAGCATTATTCTGAACTTCAGTACTGACCCTACAGGGGAAGCTGGAAATTGGTGCTCTTTCAGAAAATATCGTTCATATCCTTGCCACTACTCAACTGAGTGTCCTATGAATTGCATGATCTATTAGGACTAATACAAGAGTTTTACAAGATTTAGGAAAGTTACCGGTTTTTCTGACTCGACACCACTTAATTTGTTTGCATAGGAGACCTCTCGAAGTAGTTTTGAGTCCTTGGCTCATCTTTTTCCGAATTGATTGTTGTGTATTGTTATGATATGATAAGAGCATAGAAATATACCCGCTACTAGTGCATGCGCACAGAAATAGTGCGTTTCTAGCAGCTGGAGGAGGAGTGTCCGCAGACTGAGTAGTAAGCGAACATCGGCGGACAGCTGCCTGCCTACTTGAGCGGGGAGGAGTTGCAGTCGCTATCACAGAAACCAGTCGGGGCGTGTCAGCGGCGCGCGGGTTTTGGTGCGACACCAATCCCCTTCCCGTTAGTCATTGAAGAAGCCGTAACAAGTGATGGAAGACGAGTTGGTGCTGCGCTAAAACCCATGTCCCACTGACAGGCGCCGACTCCTCTCTTACGCCCTCACACAATGTCTACTCCTCTGCTTTAACCGGTACGTGCCTACCGTCGCTGACCCATAGCTTAGCTTATGGACATTCGTACCCCCCCCCCCAGCACTGAATTATGGGCTGTATGGAGTGTATTACGAAGAGCTAGCGTCTGCATGGTCTTGGATACAGGCCTGGTTAGGTTGTTCTGACCTATCATCCCTCCGACCTCGTGTAGATACCAAACTATACTAATACTAAACTAACTAACGACACCAATTCTGGGACTGGTGCCGTACCATGTGCTGAAGTTCTGTTTGCAGTACCTTCTAATGTGCAGGTTTCAGCAGCTTTATGATTATGGCGCAGAACGTATGCTTACGCGGATCTTTTTTCAGCCTAAATACATGTGGGCTTTCATCTACATCGTCTCCTTATGGATCTTTCCCCTTTTAAATGGTTCTGAACAGGAGAATGTCGAGGTCGAAACTGATGTAATTTTTTTCATCGGCCGTCCTAGTATTACAGCCACATATCATCGCGGTATAGACGTTTTGGAACTGACAAAGTCCACCTCAGATTTTGTTATTCTTCCTATGACCACATCCACCCCACATAGGTTGCTGCTGAGAGCAGGAATACGAGCTTCTGCATATCCTTGCTCTCATCCTATTTTTTTTTAATTTTCGCTCAGTACTCTAGGTATTAAAGTAGCGTGGCTATAATGCGGTGATGATCATCCACGCCGCCTGACTCCCTTTTGTCCACTTGTACTTGTGTTTCACCAAAGGGATGTTTGCCGTTACTTGTGTATTCGCCAAAAGGATGTTTGCCCTTTACTCCTGTCACTTGTCTTTGTCTGTTCATCAGGGGAAATGCTTACGGTGCAGAATGGAATGAGCAAAGCAGCTAGGTCTCCACCTTGCCATCTTCACCTGGACATACCCGATAGCTCATTTTCGTAGAATCTATACTGGTGGCGAATGGGAAGTAACAGTGTTTACCTACAACCACGGTTTGCAGAAAGATTTAATTACATACTACAGTTGCGATTTACAGTTACATATTATGGGTGATACACTCATAGTCAGTTAGGAACTTGTAGTACCATGTGACTTGTAGTCACTATGTGACTGCATAATAAAGAAGAAAGCAAAAGCAAATGACTGCGAGCCTCTCAAGTAAATTCCGTCCTTGGAAGTCTTATTGCAAGGGTTCCCCAGGCTGGCTGGCAAATGGGTGCCCTGCGGCTTCTGTGTATGTCCTAGCTCGCGTAGGGTTTCCCCGCGTCATACATTAATAAATGACATCCAGCACTGATAGAAAACGAAAAAAAAACTGGAAACGACCCGTACCAAAATGTATTGTTTCGGGTATATGGATGGGGTGTGTTAGTGAGGCTGGGTCTCGCGCGCCGCCAGCCCGTTCTGCACCAGTTGTTGAAGCTGGAAAGCGACAAAGTTTGGAATGACTGATGCGAGCGCCATGATATAGGCTCTCGCGCTGAAAGAAAAGAAACCTGTTGGCGCTGCGTCAGACCCATTCCCTAACGCGCCCCATCATCCGAAACGAACAAGACTGAATTCAGCTTGCGGAAACTCCTTTTGCCTAATTAGGATTACTAGTGTTCTACCGACGGCGTGCTGGACCAGTACAGTTGCTGATGGGAACATTATATGCAACTGTATGAGGCTGTAGTCATGTTTAGCTAAGCAATTTTGTTGGTCCTTATGCTATAGTCCTCACTTGTCATGTAACTCATGTAGTGTTCAGACTTCGCGATGACGCGCGTCACCGCGAAGTGATGCGCTGTAACGCGCTACAACTGCAACAGCGCTCCAAGGCGATACGCGCGAACGCAGCTGCATACGGGAATTGATCGGCGCTGGCCGCTTGTATATTCAGAGAGTATGGGGGAATAGGAGCATAGGGGCTGAGCACGCAGTCTGCAATCTATCGGTCCGGACGGTGGAGCTCTCAGAGAGTGTGAAAAAGGGAAGAGCGCATATTGTGTGAAGCGGCTTCTTCTCCTGTTGCTCCGTACCATTTCAAAAGACGAGCGGCTTCGCCAATCGATTCCCGTTCGTCCGCTGCTTTCGCATCTTTAGGATTGGTGTGCAGCTGCAGCGCGTCGACGCACGTCGTTGCGAAGTCTGAACGCTGCCTTATGTAGACCACAGTTGCAAAAATCGGTTGGTTTTGCATTTATTTCAGAGTACTGAGGAATGGCTGCCGATAGCATTTCGAGTCGAAAGAGTCTTTCGTCTCCTTCCCGCAGCTTCCTCGTCAAGGGATCAGGGACGATGAGGAGTTGAATGAAATGCTCCCTAGAAGTACTGCTAATGGTATCACAAGTACCTATGGTGAGTATTAGCATCTCCTTCAAATGTGTAATCAAGAAGTTCTGGTTGCAAATTCAGGTTCATGGGTTATGAAATATTGTGACTTTAGAAACTCAATGTCCCTATGGAAATGTGAGTAGTGAAAGGCGGTACCAATCCTGTGTTTGGCGCTATTTCTGCACCCGTCAGGTTGACGGAAAACTCACCGCGAGTCCATTTTCTTCTTCGTAATTTTTTTGATAGGTTGATTATTTGTAGGGGCTTTTAATGCCAATGGATAGCCCACCTCAAGGAATCACTTGGTAGGTGTTGTGCCGGGACGACCATCCCGTCAATATCACTCAGCACCGGAGCTCCCTGCCGGGTATGAAGGGCTCGGTACAGGTAGGTGCGTGGGAACTTGCGAAACGCTTGCTTCCACTCACAATGCTGCCATAGGGGAGTTGGTACTGAACTGCTACCTGCAGACCCTTACAGCCCCCACGCTCAGTGCCCTACTGTTACACACGGGATGCTCCCACCTACGCACAGAGCTTCGTCTGACATAGGCGTCCTAAGTCCTGCCATTCTTACACCTACGGGCCACGTGGAATCAGTCGGTAGGTGCGCTAAAGGAGTTCTCCTCACTCGGCTGCCTCACTAGTTCGAACCTCACATTGTTGCACCTAGTCTCTGAGGCAAGCTTCAAAACAAGTGTGAGAGGCTTCCACGCCTCAGTGTGTCTTGGGGTAGCCTCACAGGAGACTTGCCATGTCTTACTCTGAGGGTATAGAACCACGTCGCCTGCCTGGCTGGTAGGAGGGGGCAGTTAGGGAGCCGCATATTTCAATGTGGAAACCTACTACATGGCTCTAGGTGAGAATGAACAAAGCTGCTTCAAAGAAGCTGCACCAAAAGGGGAGGGGATATGTGAGAAGGCAATCGTAAAATGCCGCGCTGAAGGGCGTGTCTAACGTCACCCGCCCGGCAGACGAGTTGTACTGCCTTGTCGTTTCAGTATGAGTATGAAAGCGATGGAAATTCGACATCGTCCGTCACTGAGTTTCGTCTCCACTCGAATTCATACGAGGCGATGACGCGGCGTATTACAGTCGTATTGTCCGTTTCCCCCGAAAAGGTGACGTGCTACCCCTCTGCTACCCCACCCCCCATCCTGCTGCAATTTATCACGCTGTGTCGGTGAAAGGGTACACATAAGCTAACATAGCAGTGGATTAGCACTATCGGAGAGATTCAGGCAGGGCTGCGTTGAGACTTCGCGATGACGCGAGTAGTTTCATCGCAAAGTCTGAAGGCAGCCTTATCTGAATCTCTCCGATAGTGCCAATCCACTGCTATGTTTGCTCGTGTGTGCCCTCTCACCGACATATCGTGATAAGTTGCAGTAGGATGTTGGAGGAAGTAGCATGTCACCTTTTCACGGGATACGGACAATCAAACTGTCATACGATGCGTCTCACCTGGGCTAATGCCGTTTGGACTCCAGAAATTTCGGCACCGAGCTCATTTTTAAATTGCCTAAGTCACCAAATCCGCTAAAAACTTGTATATAGGGGTAGTTTAACATCCTGATTACGAATATGACATTCACTCTTGTCGCTGGCGCTATGACACTACGATTATCTGCGCTCTGCTAAGGCTGAGCCCAGGAGGTAATCGTAGTGTCCTCTCTTGGCGCCAGCGACAAGAGTGAATGTCATATTCGTAATCAGGATGTTAAACTACCCCTATATACAAGTTTTTAGCGGATTTGGTGACTTAGGCAATTTAAAAATGAGCTCGGTGCCGAAATTTCTGGAGTCCAAACGGCATTAGCCTCTCACCTGCCCTGCCCTGATTGACGAAGAATTGCGCATTGACTGTCAGAAAGGCAGTACGCATCTTTGCACTAGCTGCTTTTCTACAGGTTACAGCATCGTTGTGTGAAACACAGGTCGTACTATTCTCTGGGGAGGGGGGCGGGGGGTCGTATTTGGTCGTTTGGTCGTTGGGAGAGAGAGGGGTCGTATGTGCCTTTGAGAGAAATTTGTCGCGTTGGTTTTCCGGTTGTTGACTTTTTGCGTGATTTTTGTTTCATGTGCACTGTATACCCCCGCTCGACGGAAAAACTGGAAAAGGGGGAAATTTGTAGGTAGGTGTTGGGAAGGGGGGGGGGCGGATCGGTACGAAGCCCTCATTGAGGTGGGGGAGGAGTCGTACTGACACCCTCTCTCGAGGGGGAGGGGGGTGTCGTACCTACACCACCCTCTCACACATCACGATGCTGTATCCTGTTTATCTATTTGTGGCTTTTTCACTGACTGAACGTTTCCACACAGAGACGAGGAGTACGGAGAAGACAGATGAGGTCAAAACAACCAAGCGTCCGCGTTATCCGCTTTTCTCCCTAAAATCCACTCGTCTGCGAATTTGTATGATGCTAGCTTCGGGTTCGCTGAATTTACTTGTTTTTCATGGATAGAGTATCTTTATCCTAAGGTCTAAGATTGCGCTTTCAGGTCTTTTTGTAACGGCAGCAATGAGGCTAGACTTGAGTATGGCTATCGTCTGTATGGTTAATTCTACAGCTTTCGCTACTAATTCGAGAGACAAAGCCATTCTGAGCAGCGCCAAAGCATCTTCAAGATGTCAACCATTGAATCGCGATTATGAGAGTGCAATACAAGCTGGATATACGGTAGGGATAGTGTGACCACGAAAGTCGTTCCAAGAAGTGCAGTTTATCCCTTCTTTCCTACTCCGAATTAGATACTCCTAGTCCACAGAAGTGCAGTTTTTCATTCCTTTTATCCTACTCAGAATGAGGTACTCATTACGTAGCAAATGTGCACAATACCTCGCGCAGGATTCGAGGCTGTAGTTTGTACCGTCAGCGAGTTTTTCAGGACTCTGAAGAAGCAGTAGAATACAAATGTAAGGCTAAGCAAGGAACATGCGATTTAACAAGCTCGTTCAGCAGCACATACCCATCACTGCCCCCGTTTCCGGAGTTTGGGTCCCAGCATCGATTTGACTAGAAGCAGGTATCCATTCGACCCCTGGACGGAAATACTGCATCCACTTGGCACAAAACCGTTCGATGCTAACCTCACAGGCGCTGGCGACAAATAGTCTCAGATCATCGGAGTCGCAGAAAATTTGTCTCAGGGATGGTTTTGTTTCCTTCACAAACATATCACATCTGGTCCGGAGCTGAGTGAGCTGAAGGGTAAGGGTTCTGGGGTCGGCGCCTTCCGACTTCTGGCTGTTCTCTACTGCTGAGTGCGTGTTTTGCTGCGGGATTGTGATACGATGCCAGCGCTGCACATTGGGGATAGCTCGAGCGGAGTATGGAGACAGGAGACGGCACCCAGGTATCACTACAAGGGCACGTCCTATGTTGGGAAATTCTTAGCGGCAGGGGGTCGTGTTTGGTCGCTGGAGAAGGAGGGAGGTTGCATTCACCGTTCAGAAAAACTGTGATTTTTCCGCTTGTGTTGACTGGTGACTGTTCGCGATATCCCTGTTTCATTGGTGCTATATATCCCCCCTCCCCCCCCCCTCCTTGTTCAGTGGCAAAATTGTGGGAAGAAAGCTGGAGAACTCCTTGGGAAATTGCGGTAATGGTAGGAGGCTTATCTGGGAAAAGTTGGCAAGATAGTAGGCAAGATGCAGAAGTGGGGGTGGGGCTGGTAGCAGAGGATGAACTTGTTGGGGCGGGGGATTGTATTTCCCGGAAGCTTTTCCCAGCGGCAAGACGTGCTCTGATCACTACTCTCCAGCCCCGTACCCGCGCCTTTTCAGGGATGAAAGGGGCGTGTTTTTGCAGCTGCCTACATCACCCTTAGGCAGCGTTCAGACTTCGCGACGGCAGCGCTTCGGTCGCGCGATCGATGCGCATGCTTTCGACTGCATCGATCGCGTCGAACGCGCGACCGAAGCGCTGCCGTCGCGAAGTCTGAACGCTGCCTTAGAAGTGGATGTACAGTGCGGCTTTGATGTGCTTTCCATAGACTACATAACTGGATTTCGTAATCAACACAAAAAGATCTGAAACATTAGAAAAGTTGTCACGAACTTTTTGAATACCCCTCTTTTTGCGATAATTTTTTCAGGGTGACTTTATGTGGAGTCCAGCTATGCAATCTGTTCTGTTGTCGGCCACTTTTTATGGTGGCCTGGCGACGATTTCATTTGCTGGTGTGCTGGCAGACAAATACGGTCCGAAGACCATATTTGTAGGTATGAAGTGCGAAGATTTGGGTCCATTTTTAGGTATGTCTTTATCTCACTGGTGCAATACGACATGTTTTTTTACAGTTGTTACATCAGACTACATTATTGTCACTCTGCTCAGTCCTCTACTTGGCTCGTTGGTCTTTCTATGCATATTTCGTTTCCAGAATTATCATGGGAATCGGAGAGGTTGGCACATCATACTGATATTTTTGATAAATCCTGCCGTTACGTTATGAGGTATCCCAACTCCTAACTAGTAGCACACTGAGAAAATCTCCAAGTCCTGCTTTGTGAATCGAATTCAAGCTGATGTTGCACCTTAGCTCGCTTTGCCCTTCGGAGGAGCTTTCTGGAGGAAAGGCGTAAGCATGATTTGTGGAACAAGGAAGAACAGAAGTTTTTGATAAGAAGTGTTCAACAACGTGGTTGTTATAATCGATCCTTTTTTGAAAACTGAAGGGACTTGCCAACCAATCTGTCAAATGAACTGCCCCAGCTCCTC